TTTTCTCTGCCCCTTTTCTATTTTGCTTTGATGCCAGGAGGAATCCTCCTACCTTCCCAAATGTTGGGGTCCCTGCTAGGGCTCAAGCCATGATTATTGAATGACCAATCAGATAAGCAAAGGAATGAATGAATGCAGAATGTGCTGGGACCCCTCATCTTACTTTTTTTGGGGGGACAGGGGGTAATCAGGGATTGAATTCAGGGGCACTCGACCACTGAGCCACATCCCCATCCCTAGTTTGTATTTTATTTAGAGACAGGGTCTCACTAAGTCACTTAGCACCTCATTTTTGCTGAGGCTGGCTTTGAACTCACAATCCTCTTGCTTCAGCCTCTCCAGCTGCTGGGATCACAGGCCTGCGCCACCACACTCGGCTTACATTTTTTTATACCATGACCTCCTGTTCTCGGGGGATTTTGGAGGCTGGACCTTTCAGTGTCCTGGGTTCTTCTGAAGGAACCAATGTTCCTGGTAGCTGATATGGAAAAAAAAAAAAAAAAAAAACAGGACATATAAACTTCTCTTTCTGAGCCATGAACATGTCTTGACAGGGCAGCAGCATTTTCCAGGTCTTGAGTGACTGGGAGCAGAGACAAACCAGACCTTCCCAAACTGCCAGAAATGCGGCTCTGGGGCAGCCCCCATGCTGGTTCTGGAAAGCATCCGGGACAATGCAGATGGATGTCATTGTCCTTGGGCAAGCCCCAGATGTTGCTGAAATGATCCAAAGGCAAATAGGCAGGGATATTAAGGATCCTGTTTACAAAAAGTAAAGAATCACCAAAGCCATACGCTCAAACCAGTGCGAGCTGGCAGTTGGAGGAAGCCGGTATTTTCAACTGGAGACATTGCCACACACTCAACCGCATCCCCCTCCCTGGCACTACTCATCGGCCGCTGGTCGGGCTGTTTGGTTTTGGAGGACATCTGGCCATCTCTGGCTGCACACTTGCCCGGAGCACATCCCTAATTCTGCCCAGCTCTGCCCCAGTTCCTGGTGGGCGGCTTCCCCAGAGCCCTGCCCTCCCTGGCTGCTGCTCCTGTGTCTCTGTCCTTAAACTCAGCTTCCTTGACAAGTGCAGGTCTCCATATGTGTAGAGTCCCTTTGTCCCTCCCATTCCTCCCTCCCTTCTACCAAGGGTAAGCTCTGGCCTGCATCCGTGCAGGTGGAGACTCCTGAAAGCCGGCTCTGCCCCTTCTTTGGGCTCTAACCGAGGAAGAGGTCTGTCCGGTTTTCTGTGGCCATCTGGGGACAGCCCTTTTGGAAGGACCACAATCTGTCGTGGGTGGGGGAGGAAGGGCGTGTTTCCTTAGGGCTGAGGGCTGATGCTATACTAGGCTGCTGAGGTTTGCATGACTGTACCCCATTCATGCAATTCTCAGTCATTTCTTGAGGCTCTGTTAATACAAGGCCTGGTGCCATGGGCAGGGTGCAGAGATAAATATACGGGGGAGCTCAGAGCCTGGTAGGGAGAGGGGCAGGCAGGAAAGGAGATACTGAGCAAGCAGTGTGACAGGTGGCACTGGACATTGCACAGGGAGTGGTGATGCTCAGAGGAGGGGCCACCCACTGCCCGAAGTCTTCAAGGAGGGGATGGCCATTCTGCTGAGCCTTAAGGCTGAGGGAGGGAGTAAAGGGAAAAAGGTTGCCAGTGGACTGCAGAGGCCACAGCCAGGCACCCTGGAAGGCAGAATCGGGAGACCTGGAGTTTCCCATTCATTTTTTAAATCCCATTGGTGCCTGAAAGGGATGATTTTTCTCAGAAGAAAAGATGGATCCTGGGAGTAGTGGGTGGGGATGGAGCTCCAAAAGCCTGCCTAGAATGTTCTTGTCCTCCATGGAGAGGTTCCCAGTCCACAGGCCCCCTTCTCATAGCAGTGGGTCACACAGGTGGTGCCATGTAGCATAGGAGGACTTTGGTGCCTCATTGGACACATGAATTACAAAAACCTGCCCTCCTCACAAGACTGGGCATTCTCTGTCAAGTCTCACTCTCGCCTGGCAAAGGGTCTTTCTGGTATATATATACATATAAAAACCTATGTGGGGCTGGAGCTGTGACTCCATGGGAGAGCCCTTGTCTAGCATGTACAAAGCCCTAGGTTTCATCATTAGCACTAGAAAAAAAATCTGTGTGTATGTGCCTGCGTGTGTGTGTGTTTGTATGTGTGTCCATGTAGGGGGTGTGGGTGTGCCTGGGGGTGCACATGCATGTCCAGGCTCTGTGTACTTTGCTCCCCTCAACTCTTGAGGGGGTCTGTCTCCTCTTAGGACCACAGCAGCCCTGTAGATAGCTGGAAGTTGCTGATGATGTCTCTGAGGCTTGCCTCCTTTTCTCTGAGACTGAGGTTTATTTAGGAAGAAAATAAACACACAATCATTCAATCCTTTGGATGTTGGCTTAATTTCTTATTTTCAAAGACAGATATGTAAATGTTTCCATCTGACTTAGAAACACAAATAGGAACTCTCTAGACACCTCCTCCCCAACACCATGTTTAGCAGCTGGAGATCAGCACTGGTGGAAGTATTTACACCATGGAAATTGGCCAGAGCCACAGTGGGGACTCCTCAGCCCTTCCCCACCTGACCCCAGGCAACAGTTGAACACTCATTTGTAGATGTCTTTGATGATCTTCTGGAGCTGCCTTGGCATGGATACCTGAGTTGTAAGTCTGGTCTCTGAAAAAAAAAAAATTATGTGGCCTTGGGCAAGTAATGTCCCTTCCTTGATCTCACCTTCTTCCTTATAAAATGGGGAGACTGGTAACATCTTGTCTGTGAACCCTGGAAAGTCATGAGGGTAAATGAGATGATTCAGATCCTGGTAACTTCCTAATAGGAGCCCCAGGGTGGGCAGTGCCAGGTCTGTCTGGCGTGTCACTGAGTGCTCAGGACCTAGCAGGGTCCCCAGGACAGAACAGGTGTCCATACCTGTGTGCTGAAGGAGTAAATGAATATGGTACAAAGTGGTGCTGGGCTTTTGTGCAATCTTTCTCGTTTAATTATCATAGATATTTCCCATTTAAGGCTGTGGATAGGCTTGGTAAATTAAAAAATATTGTACAAAAATGTGTCAGGCCATGGATTAATGTCTGAGTCTCAGCTTCCCCATTTGTGAAATGAATTGCGGGACACTTGGCTTCTTAGCTCTCTGTTGACTCTCTTTATTTATTTATTTATTTATTTATTTTTCGGTGGACACAACATCTTTATTTATTTTTATTTTTTTATGTGGTGCTGAGGATCGAACGCAGCGCCCTGTGCATGCCAGGTGAGCGCGTTACTCCTTGAGCCACATCCCCAGCCCTCTCTGTTGACTCTCAACCTGACTAGTCTGAGTCTCTAGAGCTGGGCCCATCTCCTCTCTGATGGAGCCCATACCTGGGTGGGGCTCCCCTGGTGGGCACCTACAAGGGCCACCTGGACCCCCGTGCCACCCACTCCTTTTAGCTATTTTTGTGAGGAACAACGTGTCCCTGGGTCTGCCGGGCAGAGAAGCGGGAAGAGAAAAGCAGGGGGAGGCTTGGATCTCATGATAAATCATGTGGCTCTAATTTAGGAGTCCATGGGGGGGAGGGTGCCTGGGGCTGGAGAAGTCATTCTCTGTGGCAGGCAAGGAAGGATGGGGCCAAGGTCCTCCCACTGCCTCCTCAGGGGGGTTGGTAGGTGGGGGTGGGGGCAGGGAGACTCTGCGATCAGTCCTCTCTGAGCAGCCCTCAGAGGGGCATGGGAGATTCACCCCAACCCCCAGCACCCCCAAGCCAATTCACCACTTGGGCTTTGATGTCCCCCACTTTTCTTATTACCTTATTCTCTAGGAAGGGAAAAGCAAGAAACAGCTTCTACTCTGGCACAGGAAGAAAGAAAGGAAACCAGGGAAGAGGTGGCAGTCCCTGGAAGAGAAGCAGCCTGGGCCTCGGGGCCAGCAGAGGGAAATGGAGAGGCCCATAGGACTGGGCATTTGAGGCTGAGAGAGTGAAGGTGGGGGACCCAGTTGGTCATAGTAGGACAAGATCATGGTCAGGCACCTCTGTGGAGGATCTCCAGTCTGTCCACAGCAACCTCCACAGTGGTAGGGGGCTGCAGGGCCCACTAGGAAGTCTCAGACAAGAAACATTCGGGGAGAGAGACGGGGAAGAAAGGGTGGGGAAAGAAGTGAGGCATACTTTCTCTCCATGTTCAAGTTTATAAACTAAACTTTGGTTAAGGGGGAGTTTGAGGGGCTAGGAGGGCCTGAAAGTGCCCTGGAGTCTCAGCTACATGAAAAACAAAGACATTAAAGGAGTTGGGAGCCCCACGGTGGTGTACACTTTATAATCCCAGCTACCCAGGAGGCTAAAGCAGGAGGATTGCAAGTTCAAGGCCAGCCTCAACAATTTAGTGAGAACCTGTTTCAAAATAAAATTTCATAAGGTCTGGGGACGTAGCTTAATGGTAGAACTTAATGGTAGAGCACTTAAGCATGCATGAGGCTTAATCTTCAGTAACACACACACACACACACACACACATACACAACACGTTAGGACTGAGAGGAAAGAGGGGCTCATGTATTAAGTGGCTCTTGGGGTCCGGGTGCTTTATTTATATAAGTAGCCTAATTTTCAGGACAACCCCATGTAGAGGAAGACTAGTCCCATTTCTGGATGGGCCTCACAAAGCCTATGTCCCTCATCCAAGGTCACCCACGTGGTAAGGACAGAGCTATCTGCCTGGTCACAGTAACCCCAACATCCCCCCTTCCTTTGTGATCACCCTCCTGATCCAGGGCTTCTCTTCCTCCAAGTCTCAGCCAGTCCTCCCAACTCCCTTGCCCTTCCTACCCAGCCCAGAGCTGTAACCAACTCATGGATAACAGATGGATTCCCTTAGAAAAGTGGGAATGGGGGGCTAGGTTGTGGCTCAGTGGTAGAGTGCTCGCCTGGCATGTACGAGGCCCTGGGTTCGATCCTCAGCACCACATAAAAATAAATAAATAAATAAAATGGGGGTATTGTGTCCAACTACAACTAAAAAATAAATATTAAAAGAAAGAAAGAAAAGTGGGAGTGGGCAGTGCCAACATTTCAAGCTCAGGCCTTAATGGCTGCAGGTTCAGAGGGAGCTTTGTTTAGTTCTGGGGACCTTTGCTAGCACCAAAGCCAGAGCAGTTTCCTTTTCATTACTTAGAATGACGTTGTACAGGCCTGAATGTTTCAGGGGCTGAGTGTGCACCGATACCTTCAGCAGAGCAGTGTGGTGTCCTGGGGAAGGAGTGAACTTTGGCCCCAGACCAAAGGGGGTTCAATCCTGGGTTAAGCAGGAGGGAGCTAGTCCAAGGTTGAGGATAAGTAAGTGATGACATAGAGCTGAGATATTCTGTTAAGCAGTGGGTGCCCCCTGAATCCTTCACACAGGACGAGGGGTGAGGGATACGACACCCAGCAGTTGCACTAAAGGCCTTCCCTTGCATGGTGGCTCTCCTGCTCCCTTGGGAAATTTTCCCCAAAACCATCTAGAGTTGAGTGAGAAATATTTCCCTACCTACTCTGGGCTTCTAGTACTAAAAACCCAATCCAAACTAGCTTAAACAGAAAGGGGAGTGCACTGGGGAATATCAAAGTAGAACAAAGAACTAGATGAGGAGCTGAACAACTGGGAAAATGGGGGCCAGAGAAGGTTTTGGAACCACACTAGTACTTCCTGTTCCTTTCCATAAAATAGCTTTATTCTGTGGCCATGAGACTGGAAACACTGTCATTCATGGGTTGGTTAGTTGAAAAGTCTCAGGGAAGATCTCTGATTGGTTCACCTCAAATCTATCACCCAGACCCGAACCAATCACTGTGAGGCAGGATCATGGAAGACGGCAGCTTCAGTGTACTGGGCACTGTTCCCCCAAAAGGAATATTGTTTCCAGAAGGAGGAAGGGCGATGGAAAGACCACACACTCAGTGCCCTTTCTTCTTGTGGGGAAGCTCAGCAGCTGGCTGCCGGCCTTGCAGAGCTAAAGGAAACCAACTCCAAGTCCTGGTTCATGAATGGACATGGTGTGGTCATGAGAAATATCAGCACATAGAAGATTGCCATTTTAAGACAAATATTTTCATTTACAATTCCAGTTTTTTCCCTCCAAAGGGTGTTGTGGCAAGTTTCTCTGTCTTTCTACTTCACAGACCAGAAACAGAGGCTCAACTGACTTGCCCAGGGTTAGCTAGCAAGTCAGGAGCAGAACTCGAATCAGAACTCGGGTTGTCTGACTCCCGAGGTCCTGAGGGTAGTTTCTGCAGGGATCAAGGTAGGACTTAAACCTGGATCTAGACCCTGAACCTTGCTTAAGCCTCCATCCAGGAGGAGAGAGTGGTCAGCAAGAGACTTTAGCAGAGCGCTCACCGTGGGTCAGATTCAGAACCTGAGGCTCACAGTCTAATGCCCAGAAGGTCTACATAACCAGGTGAGTACAGTGGGAGGAGGACACCTAGCCTGAGCAGGGACAGGAGGGAACTGGTCAAGAGGTGCCACTCAGGGAAAGAGGTCCTTGAGCCAGATCTGCAAGAGTGAGCTCGACAAGGAGATAGGGTGGGAGGACATCATGGCTCAGGGAACAGCCCTGTGATGGCAGAGGCGTGTGGAAGCAGAGGCTGGCCGTCTCCTCACCCCAGCAGCAGCCCAGCCTCTGTGGTGGTAGTTTAACCTGCACACAACAGAGGCTGTCCTCTCCAGGTCAGCTCCTGGCTCTTGTCTCTCTCAGGTTGGTGGGTTTACTTCCTCCCTCAGTGGCTGCACTGAGCCCTCTGGCTATGACAGGCTCCTGAGGACAGGCTCTGCCTTCTTTCCAGAGTCTCGGCGAAGGACGATCTTTGAATACCACCGGGTGGAGCTGGACTCCAGCAAGATCACCAGCACGTCGGCCGTGGAGTTCACCCCATTGCCAAGTGAGTGGGGCTTGTTCTCAGGGACAGGGAGCTTTCCGCCATCTTGCAACATGCTTCAGAGTCAACAGACAGGGTTCATGGCCCAGGGCCACGGCTGAGCTCTGGGGGATACAGTCACCTAACTTCTCTAGGCCCCAACACCTCCCTCCCAGAGCTGTGGAAAGGGCTAGAACCAGAAATGGCAGCTCTGACATTTACTGGTAGGTCCCAGGCCTGGGGGGTGGTTTGCCTAATATATGACAGGTATTGTTATTGACATAAAATTGAAACCCCAGAGAGATGTACCCTCTTAGTGCCAAGGAAAAGTAACCCAGAAACTGAACAATTTGTGGTTTGTCATTAAATTTTCTTTGGAGGGAATGGTGCTGGAGTCCATGGGCAGAGGACAGTAAAAAGATTTAGGCAGCAGCCCTCCAAAAACTTACATACAGTTGAAGACACACACCATGACCAAAGCCCCCCTGCCACTGTGGACGCCTCAGGACTGGCTTTGAGTGCTCTTTGGGATGTGGGGACTGAGGCAGGGACTGAGGTTAAAGGACAGCACTTCTATTCTTGTATTTTTAAGGGAGTTTAAGTTCCTCTCCTATCTCATGGTACCTCCCAGCTTCCTTCTGAAGCCATGGCCTGCCTGCCTTTTGTGACGTTTCTTGCTTCCCTTTCTCTTCCTCCTCCTTCCTGGGAGTTGGGGGATAGAGAACGAAGAGGAGGAAGAGGAAGGGTTGGTCATGAATGCCAGGCCATGTCTCAGCCTGGGCTCAGCAGGTATCTTCCCCTAGAAAATAGAAAGGACCAGACACCAGGGAGTCACAGGGCTAAGACACAGTGCAGGTCACAGACTCACCCACCAACCCAGTCACCTTCTTTGGAAGCAGAAGCCCAGGGCCTGAAAAACAGGGATTCCTCAAGGACTTGCAAGGACAGACTTCAAGTCCTAAAACTTGGATAAGCTTCATGAGGAATAATGACATAAAGGGCCAGGGCTAACTGCCTGGGTGAAGCAGTGAGCTGGGCTGGGTGCTTAACCACGGAACCACATCCCAAGCCCTTATATATATGTATGTACAGGACAGGGTCTTGACAGGTTGCTTAGGGCCTCACTAAGTTGCCGAGGCTGGCTTTGAACTCACAATCCTCCTGCCTCAGCCTCTGGAGACTCTGGGATTTTAAGCTTGTGCCACCATGCCTGAAATGTACTTCTGAGACTTTTAGTTGAGCCACTCCCCCAACTCTAGTGAATTTTGTGAGCATTTAATAGCACACAGGACATCTGAAATGAGATGAGAGATACAATCAACAGGTGTTATGAACTCCCCACAAGGCTCCCAGAGGGTTTCATCATGGCCAGTGTGGCCAGAGCCTTTAAGGGGCCCCCAGAGTCACTGAGAACGGCAAGGCCTTGGACTCCTGTGTGGCCGCCCATGTAGGAGCCCTGTTGGCTTTGCCAGGAGAAAGCTCTTTATCCCTCATCTTCTCCATTATGCTTTGGGTGCCGAGAGCACTTATCCCAGATACTCCCAGGGATGTGGATGGCTTATCTTAAAGCCATCGCACTCCATGGTGGGTCCTTCCTGGCTCCTCTGCTAGGAGACAGTCAAGGAAAGGTACCCTGCGTGAGGCTGGGAGCCGGGGCACGAGGAACCCACCGAGGAACCAAAAGGCTGAGTTCTGGTTCTAGGTTCACACAGACCCTGGCTCAGACCCAGACCTGCCACTTTTAGCTTCATGACTCTAGGCCTCAGTTCCTTCCTATGTAAAATGGGAATAAGAAGAGCAGGTCCCCATGAATTCTATATATCACACGCTGGGCACTCTAGGCCCCCTGGGTACAGCAGGGAAGGAAGTAGGCAGAGAGCACACCGCCCCACCCCCATCTCGGGGCAGCCCCTGCTTATTTCCTGCTCCTGATTTTTCATCCGCCACGGTAGACAAAAGGACATAGTGCCACCAACTGCCAGTCCCTCCCATAGAGCCACTGAAGGTGGATTCACTGGGCCCACCACAGCCTCTTTCCTACTCACCAAGGACTGGTTCCCAGCTGCCATCTTGCCAGAACTCCATGGAATGCAAATTGGTTCCCTAATTAATGGGTTGAGGTATCATCCCATGAAACTCACAGAGGAAGAAGTGCATGTAGTGTTTATCGAATGAGAGGTCATTTTTCTGTAGTTACCTGTCCCTTCTTGCTGCTACCAATGTGATCTGTCAGCTGCTTATAAGATGAGCCCTTGTACTACACACAGCTCTTCTGGGCTTTGTGCCAGTAATTTGCCACTCAGAGGTGGTGTGGCCCCCTGGAGTGGGCAGCATTCAGTTGCAAGTGAAGAACTTGGAGTCCAGCCCCCAGGCCTCCAGCTCCCCAGGACTCCTGCTCCCCAGGCCTCCTGCTCCCCAGGCCTCCTGCTCCCCAGGCCTCTGGCTCCTCTACCTGAGCAGTGCAAGGAGGGGCCCAGGTGCCCTCCAGCAGCCTGCTCTGCTCATTCTCTGCCCTGGGCCAGCCCCAGCTGCCGCTCTCTTCTTGCTACTTCCGCCTCTCCCCTGCAGCCTGTTAGGGGTTCTGTCTGTCCTGGGACCACTCCTGGGCCACACACACCAGGCTCTGCTGCTTGGACTTTTCCTCCCCTGGGAGAGTGGCCCGCTCCCTCCCTCCCTTCTCGTCCTCTGCCCAAAGGCCCTCCCCTCCATGGCTGGTGTTAGGCTCCCTGAGCAACCCCCATCCCCACTCTCCTTCTGCCTTCCTGTCCTGAACTACTTTTTCCTCAGCCCCTCTCACCACAGAAGCCCTGAGGTAGACTTGTCTATCCATTTGCGGGCATCTGCTCTTTTTCTGCTCACTGCTAGGACTTCATCATCCAGGACTTCTAGCCCCAGTAAACTTTTGTACTGTTAATTGAACCCAGGGCCATTTTGCCACTGAGCCACATCCCCGACACTTTTTATTTTATTTTTTTTTTTATTTTGAGACAGTGTCTCCCTAACTTACTGAGGCTGGCCTTGAACTTGTGATCCTCCGGCCTCAGCCTCTCAAGTTGCTGGAATTACAAGGATGCACTGCTGCGCCCAACTTCTAGTTATTTTTGTCTGTGCATCTGTTTGGTGTCTGTCTGCTCATATGACTGTAAGCCCCAAGAAGGCAGGGACTAGGTCTTACTGTTAAACCCCCAGCACCAGCTCAGGACCTAACCCCCTGATCATGGAAGGCGAGAAGGAAGGAAGGGAGTTGGGGCTGGACTGAAGTAAGGGTCGCAATAATGAGCTCGAGCTCCTGTTAAGACAGAGACTTTGTTGTTCTGGAACTCAGGAGTTGTGCCCTGTGAAGCTGGTAGAAAGGTCCCGATGCTCAGTGGCCACTGCCTCCTCTCTTGCAGCTTGCCTGCAGCATCGGAGCTGTGACACCTGCATGTCCTCGGACCTGACCTTCAACTGCAGCTGGTGCCATGTCCTGCAGAGGTTTGTGCCCAGCATTATGCGCTGAGTCCCATAAGCAGACTCCAGAGGAGAACAGACGGTGGCAAAGCTCTACTCTTGCCTCGGGCCTCTGGGCCTCTCTGCCAGCATGAGGTTCTCTCTCTGCTCCGAGCCTCCCTGGCCAACAGGACAAGAATGTCTCAGAAGAGAATTTCTCTTGAGGCTTGTGCCTGATCAAGGTGTCTGTGTGGCAGGGTGAGGCCTGGGGTGACACTAAGCTTCCGGAAGACCATTCAGGGCTTCTAGCAGCTGTAGCCCCCTCCTTAATCCCAGGAAGCTGTGAGGGTATTGGTTCTAGAGCAGGACTTCTCAAAGAGAAGGACTCATTTGTGGTCATCCCAGGGTCTCCAAGATCTCCTGTAAGCATGCAGAATCCTGGAATCTCTGGAAGGGGACCAGGGACCCGGCATTTTAACATAGTGCCTCATCTGCAGACAAGTGTCGGAACTCTCAGCTCAGAGTGAGGCAATGACCCACTGCCACTGGATGAGAGCCCTGTGACCCCAAAACACCACCTCAAGATCTTTCTTGGGTTGCAACAGGGTTTCTTGAAAACCAGGGATGTGGACACTGCAGGCATCCGCAGAAAGTTGGGGGAGGCTACAGAAAATTCTGGGTGAGATTCAGTTTCAGGGCTAAAGTCCTTAAACCCAGTTTATCTTCTACTCCTAGTTCTGAAATCATTTCCTTGCACATTAGATTTAGAATTCAAGCTCTGTTCTCCTGTCCAAGATAAATAAACGGCAGGAGGGGAAAGAAGGATTCCTGTGGGGACTGAGCTCTCATGAGAGTGGGAAGCCCTAAGAACTCTGGGAGCCTTTAAGGTGATCTTGAAAATTGCAAAATTACAGTCTCTGAGTTCCCGTGCAGCTATCGTGCAGCTGTCAGCGTTTCCTTTGCTCCTTTCCAACATCCCTGAGCAGAAATAGAAGCCCTGGCCTCCACAGGCAGCCTGCTATGCACAGGGCCGGCTCCACTCTCAGGGGAGGGGGTGCGCTCATCAGGCCTCCCAGGTGCTCTCCCCACCAGCTGTGCCTTGGCGCACTCACCTGGGGCCTCAGTGTGTTTACCCTGTAAAATGGAGCTGCCTCATGTGAATCAGGGGGATGTGGGGGTGGGGAAGAGAACACTCCCCAAATGCCAAACAGCATTTTTACAAAGCATCCAGGGGTCTTTGAAGGAAGGCAGAGAGCCTCAGAATTCGTGGAGCTGAACCTGGGTCGATGGGTTGGTTCTTCTGGAACAGGAGACTTTGCAGAGTCCTCTGCCACCAAGTCTTTCAGAATCCCCTGGAGGGCTGGCCGGATTCCCTGCCTCTCCCCCAACAACCCACAGAATCTGACCCCTTGGGACCAGGGTCCCAGGAGTCTGATTTTTTGGAGTGTTTCATCTTCTGCACTTTCAAAGTGGAGAACCACTGTCTCTGTGGTGGGGAGACGCTCTGGATGGCCTGAGATGAGCCCTGGGATCCTGGGGCTGGCTGCCACCGCGTGACTCAGCATCCAGCACAAACGGAGCCATGGGAACTGCAAAGTGGGCCAGACGAAAGCAAAACCCTCACATCACCACAGCCTCATTTAGTGACTACACCCAGACTCAGGGAGCATGACATGATCAGAGGGTGGCCTGCCTCAGCAGGACTGGCCAGTCAGGGGTGGGGGGAGGGTGGGGCTCTGCGTGTGGACTCTGCCCTACTGGGGTTCTGTCAGCCCCAGAGCGGAGAAGCTCTCTCAGAGGGTGTGAGGTGACAAGGGCCACAAACCACCTATCCCCAGACACCCACAGGCCTGGGCTCACTCCTTGCCAGATTTTTAGAGCCTTGGCTCCAAATGAGAGCTGACCCTAGTGCCCTAGAGCCAGAGGGCAGGGTTGATAGAGGACCCTGGTTCTCCTCTCCCCTCCCCTTCATCTCCTCTGCTCTCTGTAGCCTCCCAGGGCTTACCCTCCCTGCTTGGGGCTGGATCTGATTTAGACAGTTTCACTTACCATGGAAAAAGTGTCTTTCTGTCATCCTAAAGTGGTCCCCAAGGCCCACTGTGGAGTCTAAGGGTGACCTCAGTTCCTGTATTAGCTCAGGAACTGATGGTCATAACCGCTGCCTTCCAACGTCATTGTGAGAATCCTAAGAAATGGTGCTGGAGGAGCCGTGTCTGGGGCAGCACCTGGCATTCAAAGAGACATTCAGTAAGTGGCCATCTCTCATGCCCCTCTCTGAGTCTGGGTTGACTGGCTCAGGGTTTAGAATGTGATGCTCTTAGACCTGTACTGAAGGCTTAATCCTGGAAAGAATCAGCCTAGTCTAAAAGAAACTTTGGTCCCCAGCTTCCAATAACTCCCCTAATTCTCTATCCCCCAAAGTAGTGGTCCTGGAGGCCTGAGAGAAGGAGCCTGTGGCTGGTGCAGTGCAGGCACCCCTGCTCAGGAGGAGCAGCTTGGATACCTCTGAAAGGAAAGACTAGAGGTCCTCAGAAAACCTCAACTTTGGCCTCGCTGGGTCTTGGACTGATGGGCAGGGGCTGCTGGTGTGGAGTTAACTTGCTGGGAATCTTTCTCTGCCCTGGTGGCTCAGGATGTTATTCTTCCCATGCAGATGTCCCTGAACTCAAGTAAAGCTTGCTGCTTCCCCTGGCACCAAAGAGTGAAGAAGGGCAATTTGAGCCCTTGATGCCGTGGAGAACCTTCTCTGGTTCACCCTTGTATCCCACCCTTTCCCAAGGGAGGCACTTGGTCTCTTCCGACCCAGCTGAGCTGCACAGTGTCCTCTCCAGAGACCCGGGTCAGCCTGTTTTTCACCTCTCCCAGCCTCCAGCAGAACCCTTATTTCTGCCTTTAATGATCACACAGGGAGCGTAGGCCAGCCTCTTCCAATGCCCACCCTCCACCAGCCTCTGCTTCGAAGTTGAGGCCCCTGAATAATGGGGAGCCTGGCGAATGAGTATGAGTTCCTCCAGTTCCAGGAATGCCACGGTAGCAGAGTCAAACAGACTTAAAAGTCATCAGAGGTCATGCGTCCCTGCACACCACACACACACACACACACACACACACACACCACACATACACACACACATCTGGGCAGCTGTGGCCTTGATCCCGAGAGCTGGTCCTAAAAAAGGTGGGGATACACAAACATCCTCCCCTCCCTCCTGCACCTGGGGAGCTTGACCAGGAGTTGAGCCCCTCCTAACTGTCTTCAGAGACGTACTGAATAGGGGACATGAAAGTGGAGGGCTTCTCTTCCGGTCCCCTCACTTCTCTAACTTTTTAACTCCCTTGCAGGTGCTCCAGTGGTTTCGACCGCTATCGCCAGGAATGGCTGGCCTATGGCTGTGCCCAGGAGGTGAGAAGCATGTGTGCTCTGCTGTGACGTGGCCCTGTGCCGGTGAGGGGAAGGAGGTCTGCCAGCAGGCCCCTCCCCAGGGAGCTCTTTTCAAGGTGTCTTCAGCCTGAGGTGTCATTATTCTCTCCTCCAGCTAAGATTTGTTTTCCAGATTGCTCTGAACCAATTAGACCACTCTGGAAGGCTTTAGAGGACTCTGTGGGTCCCCAAGACAACTGCTTCTGGGGACTTGGCTTTCAGCAGGCAGCTCCTCGGGAACTCCTCTGGTGCCTGTAGAGGCAGGGCCTCAGTTCCAGCTGGCTCCTCCAGAGGCTGTGCACCTGCCGAGGCTCTAGGCCTCTGGCTTTTGAGGGAGGCAGTCATCCTGGGGGTGTGGAGGGTCGTTCCAGGCACCTCCCACTTAGAATCCTGACCCGTTCCTTCTCATTACTAGAATTTTCCAGCAATGATTCTGGGTGGGGAGCATCCTGCTCTCATACCCTGGGCTGACGCAGAGCTCACTGCATCTTTCTTTGCTCCCGTCCTCTTCCTCGTCTTGAAGTGGGAGCGCCTCACGGCGCTGCCCTACACGTGCTCTTATTTAACTTGACCTTGAAGCTGGAGGCCAGTGCCCCCCTTGGTCAGAGGGGAGAGTGTGAGGAGCAGGCCTGCCTCTCACAGCTACGAGGCTCTGGACTCAGCATTTAAACATGAACCCTATAGGCCCACTGCCACGCCCTTGCCGCGACCTCTTTTATTAGTCCAGGCCGGGGAAAGCTGTCTTTTTCTGGCCTTAACAAAAAAAATCTGTCCAACCTCCCCTTTCTGATGTTGGCTGTGCTGAATGTCCAGATTTGCTCTATTTATTCAAGATTGGCCTCTCAGCTCCTTCCTTGAGTAAGAATTTGAAGCAGCTGACTGATAAATTGCCCTGTAAGATAAGACACTTGTAGGATAAAGTAAAGGGTTTTTTTGTTGTTGTTGTTGTTGTTGTTCGTTTTGTTTTCTTTTTTTGAACTGGAGTCTCCCTAGGTTGGCCAGGCTGACCTTGAACTCCTGGGCTCAAGCAAGCCTTCATCTCAGCTTTCCCAAGTGGTCAGACTAAGTGGAAGGTTTAAATGCATCCAGGGCCCAACTCTAGCCAGGCAGCAGTGCGGGGGGGTCTCTCTTCTAGGCAGAGGGCAGTACGTGCGAGGACTTCCAGGATGAGGACCACTACTCGGCCTCCCCTGACAGCTCCTTTGGCCCCTTGGACGGCGACCTCACCACCACTTCCTCCTCCCTCTTCATTGACAGCCTTACCACTGAAGGTAAGGCTAGAGCTGGGGTCGGCTGGCGGGGGACCTGGGAAGAACCATTGCCTGAAGCACTCACTGGCCCTCACAGGGACCATCTCATGGGACAGACATTGCCCTGCCCTCTTATAAAGGACTGAAGCCCAGAGCGCTTAGTTCACTTGCTGGTGAGCAGCAGAGGCAGGTGTAGAATGGGCTATAACCACTTGGGCTATAACCACTGTGCTGACCTGCATCAGAGCGAGGGGTGGAATTCACTGTGGAGAGGGGAGAATTAATGTCCCAGCCCAGGGCCAGGCATTTCTATAAGTCACCTGGGTCAATCTTGATAGTAATCCTCACAGGTTCTGGGAGGTCTCATTCTTACAGCAGGTTTGAACTTAAGCCCCACACTAAGAGGTGAGAGAGAGGTTGTTTGATTTTTCTGTAACTTGCTTCTGACTCTCAGACCCCACTTGGCAGGAGCTCTTCTGGCCTTGGCCCCTGCTCCAGCAGAGGGTCCAGGTGGGCCCCTGATGTCCTCCATCTTGGGTTGGTGACCATTCATACTGCCTATTCAGACCAGGCAGTCCCCGGGCTTCTTTGCCATCTCAAGGCCTCTTGGTTGAAACTGCCAGAGGTCCTGGGTAGTTTCCGGCTCCCCGTCCCCTGGGGGCTCTGTGCAGCCTCCTCCAATCCAGGAGCCCGAGATCTTTTAGTTTCTCCCAAATTCCTCAAGGATTCTTTGCTTATCTCTGAGAAATTCCTCTCTTATCCTTTTCCAATATATCTCTTCTAGATTTGAAAGCCCCTTTCCCTTAAAGAAAGACTGAAGGATTATGAGCTCTTAGCCTCCTCTGAGCCAAACACTTGCTTAGAAGGAATAACAGGAGGAAAGAAGGAAAAAGTCAGTATTTTAAAATATTTAGCCATCATCCTAATTTACCCATAAGGAAATAGGCTTATAAGGAGCAAAGTAGGTGACTCAGGCCTACATGAGGTGCCCCCACCTTTCTAAATATTGCCCAGTGAACTGAAGAACTAAATCAGGGTCTCCTGGCCAGAGTGAAGTCACAGAGGAGAATGAGATATGAGAGAAAGAGCTAATATCTTGGGGGACTGGCCATGTGAAGGGTAGGTTACTACAGTCATGTACAAATTAATATTTAGTCCTCCTAAACATTCTGGATGTTGATATTGTTATGTCTCCATTTTATAGAGACGATATTAAGACTCAGAGAGATAGATGACTTGCCCAGGGCCACCCAGCCAGGAAGAGATGGAGTCAAGTCTCATCTGGCTCCAAAAGCTGCTCTCCTTCCCCTTGACCCCACTGCCTTTTTCAGTGCTGAAAGAGATGGAAATGGTTGGTGTCAATTCAGGGTACAGGGAATAGAGCCAAAAGTGGACACGTGAAGCAGATTCGGGTGGCTTGGTCACCCTGAGGCTGTTGGGAAATAGCAAGGGGCGGTTCAGACTCAGGTACTGAGAGCTGAGGTGTGCTGCTTCCAGGGATTAAATGAAGAGGAAGCACAAAGAGACCTGGCCCTTGGGGAGTTAGCAGCCAAGTGCAGGGGTGACCCTCCAGTGAAGGGAAGCTCCACCAGAAGGAAGCAACCCTTGGCCAGTCTCCCTCAGTCCACCCTATGCTTTGAGGGCACGCTCCGGCTGGCACTGGGCTGGGGGAGCAGATAGCTCCCTCAACTCACTCAGGACTTCACCATTTGGTTGAGCCACAGTGTCAGAGGCTGAAGGGTGGTGGTGGTGGGCACGGAGAGCCCAGGACACAGCATCTGGGGGCCTGTTCTAAATCCTGACTTGTAATAACTTGGGATTGCAGGGACTAGTGCTCTGTCGCTACTGTGGTGGCTGTCCCTCACAGAGGCAGCAGATTCTGTTTGCCCATTTTGTTGTCTGGATCCTACCAGGCCAGGAACTGGCCTCACTCCTGCTGTGTAACAGTTCCCAACAAAAAGCATTACAGTAAGTGAGGAGGATTATGGCTCCACGTCCTTCCAGGCCTGGAGGAGGTGGCTAATATTGTCAAGAACTTTGGGGCTGGAGAGGTGGCTCAGGGGTACAGCAGTTGCCCTGTACCCTCAAGGCCCTGTGTTTGATCCCCAGCACCACATAATAGAGATCTTTTAATGATGACTGCCCCCCACATGCCTAGCTCTCAAGGCATCTTGACAGAACTGAGGCCAGGTGCCCGCCCGCCCGCCGCACATGGGCCACTGTACCCAGCTGGTTTGCTACTCTCAACCAATCAAGTCCTTTTTTTTTTTTTTTTTTTTTACTGGAGATTGAACTCAGGAGCACTCAACCACTGACCCCAGCCCTATCACTGTGGGGCACTTAGGAGACAGGCGTGGGATGGAGTCTGTTTGGTGCAGTTCATCTTGTGGAACAGTCTGTAATGGAGAAATGTTATAAACCAAGGGGATGCAGCTTTCCTGGGGGACGTGCAGAGTCGGAGAGCAGAGAGGACCAGGGGAGAGGAGGCCTGGGGGCTGGACTCCAAGTTCTTCACTTGCAACTGAATGCTGCCCACTCCAGGGGGCCACACCACCTCTGAGTGGCAAATTACTGGCACAAAGCCCAGAAGAGCTGTGTGTAGTACAAGGGCTCATCTTATAAGCAGCTGACAGATCACATTGGTAGCAGCAAGAAGGGACAGGTAACTACAGAAAAATGACCTCTCATTCGATAAACACTACATGCACTTCTTCCTCTGTGAGTTTCATGGGATGATACCTCAACCCATTAATTAGGGAACCAATTTGCATTCCATGGAGTTCTGGCAAGATGGCAGCTGGGAACCAGTCCTTGGTGAGTAGGAAAGAGGCTGTGGTGGGCCCAGTGAATCCACCTTCAGTGGCTCTATGGGAGGGACTGTGACAGGCACCATGTCCTTTTGTCTACCAGAGGTAAGTGTGGACCAGGCTACAATGGATTTTCAATGGTCTATATTCTCATGTTCTTCTGAATCAAGTTATGCCCAGTGATATTTAGGTTATTTTGGTCAGTTTTTATTAGCCAATTCATTGTTGTCAACTTGCTGGGGTTGTGGCTCAGTAGCAGAGCGCTTGCCTAGCATGTGTAAGGCACTGGGTTTGATCCTCAGCACCGCATAAAAATATAGATACATAAAATAAAGTTGTTTTAAAAAGTAAGTTACTATTTTTAAAAAATAGGTTTGAAGTTCTGCTCAAAAAGTTCTTATTTATTGAAATTCTGGAAGAAAATTCACCTGTAGAAATCTACAATTTTATTTTCCTTTCAATTTTGGGGAATTGCTTTTTCCTCTTCTTTTTTTTTTAACTAGGGCCCCACACATGCTAGGCAAGCACCCTACCACTGAGGTACACCCCCATTTCTTTTTATTTTATTTTGAGACAGAGTCTTGCTAAGTTGCAGAGTCTGGTTCTGAACTTCTGATCCTCCTTCCTCAGTCTCCCAAGGAGCTGGGATTATAAGCATGGGCCACTGTCCCCGGTTAGTTTACTACTCTCAACTGACCAAGTTTTGTTTTTTGTTTTTTGTGTGGTTTTTTTTGTTGTTGTTGTTTTGTTTTGTTTTGTTTTTTGGTTACTGGGGATTGAACTCAGGAGCACTCAACCACTGAGCCACATCCCCAGCCCTATTTTGTATTTTATTTAGAGACAGGGTCTCACTGAGTTGTTTAGTGCCTCGCCATTGCTGAGGCTGGCTTTGAACTCATGATCCTCCTACCTCAGCCTCCCAAGCTGCTAGGATTACAGGTGTACGCCATTGTGCTCAGCATCATGTGGGTTTTGTCTATTTTGACCCAGAGTCTCAGGCATGCTAGGCATGTGCTCTATCATTGCTACATGCCTATCATTGTGAGTCCTCCATTCTCCCACCTGTTATTCCTCGAAGGCAGGGACCATGTCTGTTACTTGCAGTGTCACCAGCACCTATTCCCAAGGCTCAGCCCACAGTAAATGCTCAATAAATATTTGTTGAATGAGTCAATAATTGACAGGAATGTCAGCCCGACTTGCTCTGGCCTTCTACCCTTGCATTGCTGTGAGACTCTAAGCAAGTCACCTCCCCTCTCTGCACTTCAGCTGAACCAAAGCTCCTAAAATCCCATCCAGACCCAGGGAGACAAAAGCATAGTGATTCCACTAATCTTGCTCCTTTGTCTTCTCTCTTTGAAGATGACACCAAGTTGAGCCCTTACGCAGGAGATGGTGAGTATAGAACCACCTGCCCTCTTCCCCGTACCCCTGGGTCTGCCCTACCCAAGAGGGTGCACTGGGCCTCTTTTTGTGGCCAAGAGGAGGAGCAAAGCAGCCAATGTGAACGGCCCAGACCTCCTGCTAGGTGGGAAGGCAGGGGGCACTCTGGGCACAGGCCCCTAGATTGAAGGAACATGTCTACCCAAACATTTCTATCTTAGTCAGATCCTCCAGAGGTTCCTCCTGGCCTCCCACTCTTGAATATTAGCTGCCCTGAAGAGGTGGGAGGGGAAAGTCTGAGCCTGGGCAGACATGGCTGGTGGGGCCGGTGGCCATGGCCCCCCCTCCCCATGGGCCTCCTAGTCAGCGAGGGGAAGCAATTTCTCTGACAAGTTCCCTTGTGGGTTGGCCCACAGCACACAGAAGTTGTCCCATCATAAGCTTTGCAGAGCACCAGAAGGCAGGTTCATCCAGCCTCGGGGATGCCTGGGAGGATAAGCTGTGGGGTGATGGGGGCCCTCCTCCCCTGCCCATCGCCTGGGGCCAGCTAGGCTCTGCTGCAGCTGCTGTGAGGGCGAGGCGCCCCTTCCTACTGCAGGCCAGAGGTTGTTCTCTGATTCCCTCAGGAGGAGAGGTTATTAAGGCAGTGCAGTTGGATGCATCTTCCACCAGAGAGGGCGCCATTGCTCCTCTTCAGGCAGCAGGAGGGACAGAGGGAGGCACAGAGGGAATGTTGTGGGTGGAGGGCTGCACATCCAGTCAACCAAGTCCTGCCTGTGAAGTCACCAGGGTGGCAGCAGGTTGTGGGCTGGTGGCCAGCAGGTCTGGGAGACTGGCTTGTGACATGTGTTACCTCAACTCTTCCCACCTCTTGGCATGGGGGCACTAGCCAAGCTCTGCGGTGCCTGGATAGCTTCTCTCCCGAGTTTCCTCAGCTTACCGAGTGACAGAGAGCAGGGGCTAGGAGGACAATGATTTTGAACACGTCCTATTAAAAGCCCTCACCCTCTGTTGCCTCCCATTTCGCCCACTGGTGTGTAAAAAGGGCTCAAGATTTCTGTGGCTGACATACTCACCTGTCTTCTCCACCTTGTCATCCCTACAGTCCCCAGGTAATGTCAGGGAACCAGGCTGCCTAGGGCTGGCCCTGGACTGGTGTGTCCTTGGGCAAATCGCTAACCTTCATTTCCATTCCCTCAGTCACACAGGAAAGAGTGGGACTGGAGGGGCTCCCAGCTCTCTGGTCCGTGGAAACTTCCGCTCCTCCTTGGGATGCATTCCAAACACTGAGATGTCCTCGGAGAGTGCCTGCTGACTGTTAGATCTCAGGGGACCTAGTCCGTTCCATAGAGCTCAACTGCGTGCCCATCATTTCGCCTAAGAGCTGAGGACACAAAGATGAATAAGATCCTGACCCTGCCCTCCAGGGTGTCTCAATTTGGTTGACAGTGACAAGTAGAAATATCGTCCTTTGCTATCATAATAGTTGATACTTATTGGGTCTTCTAAGATGCTCATCATGTCCTCAGTGATTGATATGACATCTCATTTTAACCCTCACAATAATCCTATTAAGTGTTATTGTTGTTATTATTACTGTTGTTGTTCTACAGAAGTGATAATGGAGGCACAGAGGTTAATAATTTGCCCGAGATCACGTAGCTAGTGCATGGCAGAGGATAGATTTGAACTCAAGCAGCCAAATCTTAGATCCCAAACTCTTAACCGTCACATACCCTTTGTGAATTCTTTAAAGGTGGTTGTGTGACACAGATGTTCAAGAGAACTTCCCTTACGATCCTTTGGCATTTGAACAGCTTTTAAGTGGTTTTGGAAAACCTCCTGAGAGGTGCTAAGAACAACGTGAATGCTGTACTCCTCCCAATTCCGCCAGTTTCTGTCCCACCTTTCTCATGTTTTTGATAAGTGGACCCAAAGGTCCTGTGGACTCTCATCTCTGGGACTTTTTTAGAACCCAAGACTCCATGGCCCAACTTTTCCTGCTCCCCTGCAGCCCCTCCCTACCCTAATGGTCTCTCCACAGGTCTCCAGGACAACCTGTCCCCAAAGACAAAGGGCCCCCCTGTGCACCTGGGCACCATCGTGGGCATCGTGCTGGCCATCCTTCTGGTGGCAGCCATCATCCTGGCTGGTATTTACATTAATGGCCACCCCAACTCTAATGCTGCGCTGTTCTTCATTGAGGTCAGTGTAGAATGTGGTCTCGGTTCTGCCGTCCACTCTGTATCAGGGATTCCAAGGCCATTGGGTACCCACCTTTTCCCCTTGCACCTCTCACACATCACCTGCCTGAGAAACCTACACCAGCCCCCTCCTGGCACATCTCTCAGTGGTTGGTTGGTGCCCTTTGTGCCCATCACCCCCAGGGTTCAGCCTCTTGGCTCTCTGTCCCTAGAACAGCCTGTCTGCTTTTGTTTCCCCATTTGTGAAACTAGAAAAGTCCCCAGAGGAAAGATTGAAGGCCAAAAATACTATATAGAGCCCATTTAGCGGCTGGGCAGCCGTTCCCTAATGATTTATGATTCTTGCCCAAATTGCAGACTTGGGACTTATTTGGAGCCATAATAGAACCAACCTCTTTTGCTGCTGCTTTGGATTTTTTTAGATGACAAATGAAAAGTGGAAATGGTAATGAGGGCTGTGCTCTCTGGGAGTTTTAGTTGAGGATACTGCGGTTCCAAATGTCCCAGAACGCTGAGGGGCCAGCCGAGGTGCCACACGGGAAGGAAGACTCAATCCCCAGCACTCTGAGCCACAGAGTCCAGCAGCTGTTGTCCAGCCCTCCACTCTAAGCTGGGTTATTAGCTCCCAGAAGATATGGCTCATTTCATAGAATTAGCTGAGTGTTTACAGTGTGTCCATGGTTTTTGCTAGGAGCTGAGGACACAAAGATAACTAAGATACTGTCCTTGCCCTCCGGAAGGCTGCAAGCCAGTGGTACCCTTTGGGAATTCCTTAAAAGTTATCAGAGAGAACTTTCCTTATGCTCCTTATTAAAAAGGATCATTTCAAAGCTTTTCAGAGGGGCACAGCCATGGCCCTCTGGCATCTCAGTCTCCTCTGCACAGGTCACAAACTCACTGACCTTATGGGTCCTCATCAGTCTTTCTGAAGTCTTAGCCTATCTGGGTATCACCTGGGAACTGAAGATCCCCAGGCCACAGGGACTCTGATGGAGTAGGTCTAAGCTGGGCCCAGGAACCTGCATTTCAGTAAGCCCCCGGTTCCCTCTGATGCAGAACCTATGCTGTCTGGAGGGTTATCTTGGCATTTCCAGAGCCTCCCAGATCATTCCAGTCATCTCTGACCCATAGCTCAAAGCTTCAGCAACAGTTGTGTAGACCACACAGTGAGGGATCAAATGTTCTCCTTCCAAACACTGGCTCCAGTGGTCAAGGGGTGACAGTGGGGAGCCTTTTGGAGAGAGTGGCCCTGACTATCACCTGGAGCCCAGTGGGTCCCAGCACCCCAGAGTCCTTATAAGAAAGAATTATGGCACTGTCCCTTGGTGGTGGGGTCCCCATGGAGAGATCATGTCTGCTGACTCTGTTTCTGCCCCCGAATCCCCTGCAGCGGAGACCTCACCACTGGCCAGCCATGAAGTTCCGCAACCACCCCAACCACTCTACCTACACTGAGGTGGAGCCCTCGGGCCATGAGAAGGAGGGCTTTGTGGAGGCCGAGCAGTGCTGAGGCCAGGCAAGAAAACCCAGGATGGCCATAAAAGATGCGCTGTGCAAAGAGAAGAAGTAACTTTTGCAGGCCTTCTCCAAGCACCTGGGCCCAGAAGAGGAGATGGGTGGCTTGTGGTGCTGGGGCCGCAGTTTAGCCCACAGCCCAGCTAAAGAGGGGGCAGCACAGCAACCATGGGGGGGTTTAAAGGAACAATCACCTAATCTCATCCTGTTTAATAAGAGGGGTCTCCCCTTGGTTCTCTCAATGATCTACTCTCTAGTTGTCCCAGACCTACCTCCCCACTGGAGGTGGCCTCATGACCTTCCGGCCTCTTGAGGCTCCTGTGTAGATCACAGGCTCACTAAAAAGCCTGGGGCAGGACTGCTGCGTTCCAGGGCCTAGACTCAAGAGCTGGTCCTCCTGGCTCTGGAGGCAGCGCACTTAGCCCCAGCTTCTGTGGCTCTGGAAGCCAAAGAAGGGGTTCTCTCCATCTGTGAAGATCTAAGCCCTTAGGACATGTCATCATGGGAGAGAAGCCAAGTAAGAGGAAAGGAAGAAGGGGCTGGGGCTGGGGCTCAGCGGCAGAGTGCTCATCTAGTGCGCGCGAGGCTCTGGGTTTGATCCTCAGCACCACATAAAAATAAATAGAAAAAATAAAGGTACTGTGTCCAACTACAACTAAAAATAATTATTTATAAAAAAAAAAGAGAGAGAGAGGAAAAAGACGCAGCTGTGGGGAAATCTGCATTTCAGACTTGGCTCCCTTCCCAGGACTTGTGCATCTGAGCAAGCGCAACCTACAGCCAAGCTTTGCGCCCAGGTTCCACCTGGCGGGCTGAGCCCTGGGTAGCCCACGCCCCATGTGGGGCTCCTTTTCCCATCAGTATGTCTGGTGCCCATTTTATCCACTGGCCTGTACTGCGGTCGGTGCCAGTAAGTACCTCTAAAGGCAGAGCTTGCTTAGTTCATATTTTTCTTTCTCTGAACTGGATTTCTATAGCCATTAGGGACAAACGGGGGAACTTGAGGATTCCTTGACACCCACCCAGCCGGGGGGATCTTCTGTTGGCATCCTGTTGAGCAGCAAAGCTGCAGGGCAGGTGAGATAGAGGAAGCCAGCACCAGAGGGAGAATTTTCTACCTAAGACCTTGACCTGGAAATGTCCCACCATCTCCCTTGCTCTGCAAGAAGTTTTGGGGGCAGGGAGTGCAGACTCCCAAACTCAGCCTGATTTCAGGGACTTCTGTCCCTGAGAGGAGCCAGGGCTGCTTCTGAAGGGCACTGGAAATTAAAATCTAGAGCTCACCCTCATTCTAAGTGGAAAAAAAAAAATAAAAAAGACAAATAAATGTTAAGTCACAGTATCCAGTTAGTCACCCCCTTTGTGCCGGTCACTGGGAGGCTGCAAAGGAAGAGTTAGAGCATCTGGCAATTCAGTGTGTGTGTGTGTGTGTGTGTGTGTGTGTGTGTTTTGGAGGGGTGGGGGTAGGCAGTGCAAATAGCCAGACGCATGGGAAGCCTTGACGGATGGTTTTCTAGCTGCTTCACGGTTTATCTGCAGTCAGGACTTTAAAGACAACCAGAGTGGAAGCCCACTGGTCCTCTGTCCTGCTTCACTAATAGGAGAAGAAAGGGCTGGGAGAGGGGGTAGGGGAAGGGGAATCCGCATTTGAGAAAGAAAAACGACAATGCAGCAGAGAAGAGTTCTTTGCAAACTTCAGAAGACAGAAAGATGGGTAATGCTCTCCCAACAGTGGCCTGCACCCAGACCTCCGGCCGTCTTGGCTCAGACTCAGTAGCAAAGCATCTGTGATGGCCATGCCTAAAATGTCCAGCAGGAAGCTCCTGCTGTGGCCTACGGCAGTGGGCAGCACCATTTGCCCCACTCCCAAACTCCAGCACAGTTTTTCCCAGTGTTCACTCACCCATTCTGGATTCCTGAAGGGAAAGAATGTTGACAGTGGAAAAGGGGCCCGGTGACCGGGAGACCTCTGCCCCTAGCCACTGCCGGTGGAGAAGGGATGCCTTGGCCCTGGCCACAGAAACCTGGATGACCCCTGGAGTGTCAGTGGCGAGGGCAGTGGAGCTGTTAAAACCAAAGATGAGGGCTGGGGCTGGGGCTCACTTGGCAGAGCGTTTGCCTAGCATGTGTGAGGCACTGGGTTCGATCCTCAGCACCACATAGAAAAAATAAATAAAATAAAGATATTGTGTCTGTCTACAACTAAAAAATATATATATTAAAAAAAAAAGAACTAAAGATGTGTCACTAAGTGAGGCCTCTGGACAATAATAGCCCCTGGACATTAATGGATTTCTCAAGCCAAAACACTTAGATCAAGACTCCCAAGAAACAGAGCCAAGCACCTCATAGTTGATGCTGGGCCCTGGCTATCCTCGGGGTCTCAGACAAGATAAGTATTTCTTATACAGACCCAGGCATTGGACCCCAAGGCTTAGAGCAGGTTAACTGGGTAGCAATGGTGAGTGTTTTGCTTCAAGAGTGAGTGACCAGAGGGAGACAAGGGTCTCAGGGTCACTGCTCGGAGTCTGGCTGCCCATCTAACAAGACGAGGGAGTGAGTACCTCAGATACTGTGCACCACCAACCAGATTTCCAGGCCTTTCCACCCCACAGGCATATATACTCTCCAGGGAAAGCAGGTGACTGGCAGGTGCCTCCTCTACATGGCATCTTTGGGGATCCTGAGGGGTCAGAGTCCACAAAAGTCCATCACTAACAGGAAGCTCCGACTCTGTGAAATAGGACCGTGATGTTTTCCATGTTGCTCAGAGATCAGAAGGTTTTAGGAAGGCTCTGTTTTGTATCAGAACCCTTAAGAGAGCTAAATGAAAAATGGGAATATGAAGAGGAATGCAGAGGCCACCAAGTTCAAGAAGACACCTAGAATCAGGCTGTGAGCACAGCCTTCATTCAGCCACTCCTAGATCTGTGGATTTGTCCAGTAAGGGCTGTGGGGTTTCTGATCCTAAAATACAAGTCACGTGAGCCCAGACATCAACCCCAGCACCCTCAGGCCATAATCAGGTATCACCCAGCTGGCCCAGCAGGCCCTGGAACACTGGAGGCCACTTGTTCAGGTCTCAGCCTGAGCCTGAGGTTTTAAAAAAAAAAAAATGTCCTCTGGTCACTATGAAGGTTCTTGATGGACCTTTGAATACAATTTTTTTAAATTTTATGTTTAACTAGGGTTCCCCTGCATCATGTGTTATACATACACACACACACACACACACACACACATTTTATTTTTAAAAAACATTGGACAAGCTGTAGCTGTACTCAGCCTTTGCTGAGTTTGTTAATTAAGACAATGGCACAAGCTGCCAGCCAATCACACTGTTCAAATGCAGCATTCACCCCTGAGCTGACCATTCACCTGCAGGGCTAAGACTGTTTCCCAGGTCCCGGAACGGACTCCCTGGCCACGAGAGCCTACACCAAAAGAATCAAGGTCACATCAGTTTTTTTCTCTCAAACTACCTGAATTTTTAGCACATCAAGGAGGACCTGGGGACTAAAGGTACCCTCGCTGCCCTAAAAAGAAAGTATTCACATATTTCGTGTGAATTCTCAGTGTTAATTTTTTTAAAGGCAATAATCTTTTACAACCTCCGTTGTGTGCAAAATAAAATGCTAAGGTTTTGGGATGCATATACCTTGGTCCTGATGACTGACATCTTCCCAAGGACCTGACCTTGGGAGCATATGAACATCTACCAGACCCTGGTCCATCAGGGGCACTTTTCCCAAACTCCTGCCCCAGCTCCAAGAAACGTCTAGGGAAACAACCCTTGCTATTTACTTATATTGGGTTTGTAAATCCCTGGAAGTCAACCTCATTCATTTTTAATCTACTATCTAAAGATACAAAATAAATCTGAGTAAGTGGATACTGTCACATTTCTGGATGCTTTGCATTTGAACAACTTTAGCAGCCTCCTTGTGTTTTATTACTTTGTGTTTTTGCTCATAAAACATAGTTTAGCACACCAAAACAAAGAGAGGAAAAATTCGAACTCCTCACAGCCAAAATCAACGATGCCAAATTTCAAGTTCCAAACAAGCCAATTTATAAATAAATATACTGTGTTTGCCAAATAAAGAGGAATGTGTTGGAAAAGCCAATGGGGACTGGTGGAGAGGTGCTGAGCTACACACGGAGTCAGAAGGTGGGAGCTTGGGTCCCAGCCCTGCTCCTGAATAGCTGTATGACATGGGCCAAGCCACTCAACCTCTCTGGGCTTGTTCCACCTCTGTGAAATAAGACAAGCTAGACTCATTGGTCCCAGGTAGGACCTTAGTAAACCACTCACCTATTTGTTTTCAGTTCACCGAGCAAATTAGACTAAAGCACGGGGCATGGGGCCACACACCTATAATCCCAGCAGCTTAGGAGGCTGAGGCAGGAGGATCACGAGTTCAAAGCCAGCCTCAGCAAAACAAGCAAGGCGCTAAGCAACTAAGTGAGACCTGTCTCTAAATAAAATACAAAATAGGGCTGGAGATGGGGCTCAGGGGTCGAGCACTTCTGAGTTCAATCCCAATACCAAAAGAAAAAAAAAAAAGAAATTAGACCAAAGCATCTCATTCTCTTCCATTATCCTGATAAGTTGACCAACTTATTTTAGTTGGTCCAGAACTTTCCTGTTTCTAACGCTGAGAGTCCTGCACCCCAGATGGCTCCTCAGGGACGCTCTCTCCTTGGAACAGCTCTCCCATCCCATTGACACTTGAGCACTTGCTATTCAGTGTGTCCAGACAGTCTGTGTGAGCAATCTTGGGGTCAGTTGGAAATGCAGGACACAGGACCACCCTCCCCAGACCTGCTGAATCAGAATATGCATGTGAGCAGCCCAGTGTGATCCACACAGGTGCCGTCTCAGAAAAAATTCTATCTACCATATCATAACCTGTTGGAGAGGTACTGTTTCCCAAGATGGGGAAACTGAGGACCCTGCAGGAGGTTTACTTATTTATTTGTCCATTCAATCCGCATTCATTAAGCATCCACAGAGTGCCAGGTATTACTATTAAGTTGACTTGCTAGTAAGGAACAGAGACAATCCCCAAACCCAGGTCTTCACATTTCTACTTGAGGTTTTTCTCTGTGTACCTCCAGGCAGTGCCAGGACCACAAGGCCACATTTTAGTATAGAAACAGGTTGTAGGTTTTGACAGAATCCTCCAGGCCTCCAGAGATCCTCAGCAAGATGCATAGCGATGACTTCAGATCCTCACTCTTAGCTCCTGGAACTGTGAGCATATCTTCTGCTTCTTTGTATGGCCCCAAGAGTTTGCAAATGTCCTAACTACTGCTGCCTCCTCATCATTGAGCCCCACTCTAGTGACCCTCTCACCTGAAGAATGATAAGTACTCAGTGAACATGTCATGATATTTCCCTTCTTGAACGAGGACAGCAGTTTACTTCATCCTCATGGGGCTGGAGGTGCAGCAAGGTGGGAGACCCTTTATCCAACTTCTAAGACCAGAAAAATTCCTATGGGTGACGATTTTTTTTTCTGATATTCATAGGATATTTTATATTTGGTCCCTAGAGATAGCTAAATCATGCTCACCATTTTCTACAAAGCTAAACACACACACAAAAAGACATCTGAATATAGGCCAATTACATTTGATCCGATATTCGCAGAGCCTTGTGAACACACCTCCCCCTCCAGGCTCAGTCTTCCTTCTGTGACTGCTATGTGGTCTGATGGAGTGTCCAAGAAGAGCAAGACTCGCCATGTCCAGCAAAGCTAAGAAAAGTTGAGAAATCCTTGAAAAACCACAGATCCAAACTTGGCATGCCTATAATCCCAGAGACTCAGGAGGCTCAAGCAGGAGGATTGCAAGTTCAAAGCCAGCCTCAGCAACTTAGCAAGATCCTGTCTCAAAACAGAAAATATAAAAGGCTGGGGATGTGGCTCACTGATATACAGTGTTCCTGGGTTTACTTCCAAGTAAGACACACACACACACACACACACACACACATACACACACACAAAAAGCTGGGTGCAGCAACATATCCCTGTCATCCAGTGACTCAGGAGGCTGAGGCAGGAGGATTGCAAGTTCAAAGCCAGCCTCAGCAACTTAGTGAGACCCTAAACTTAGTGAGATGCTGTCTTAAGATAAATAATAAAAAGGGAGACATAGCTCAATGGTAAAGGGCCCCTGAATTAAAACTTCAATGCCAAAATGAATTAATTAACTATTTAAATATTTTAGAAAAATGAACTAGACCAATTTCCCCTCTACTGATTTGGCCTACAGTCCCTTTCATTTAGATACCACTTTTTTTTTTTTAACTTTATTTTCTTTCTGCAGTGCTGGGGACGGAACCCAGAGCCTTGCACATGCTCAGCAGTCGCTCCACCACTGAGCAACCTCCCACACTAGATCCCATTTGAATTCACAGACAGCTGCTCTCACCCAACCTTTGCCTGGACTTCCCTCTCCTAAGGAACATTATGGAACTCCAAGGATCCCTCCTCAAGTCCTGCCTTCACCCCTCTATGTTCCCTGGGGCTCCTCTCCATCAAACCTAGTGTGACCTGAGAAAAAGCCTCCCGGCCCCACTGGCTCTGCCTCCCGTCCCTGAAGACAAAGACCCTGGAGGGGCAGCTGCTCTAACAGAACTGGGCAGCGGTAAAGCTCCCTTACAGCCAAAGGCCAGGTCCGATTGCTTTTGCCCTCTGAAATCAGCAAGGCAGTGGCAGTGGGAAGTTGCTCCCCAGCCAGGTCACACAGGCAGCGAGATGGCACCTGGAAGTCAGTCAGCCTTTGGCCCTCAGCATTGGCTCCTGAGGCCAGGGCCTGCCACGCTCCGACCCTCCATACCATGGACCCTTTCTGTCAAGGGCCCTGGTCCCTTTCTCCATGGAGGCCTCACTTCCCAGCCAGGAAGTGGAATTGGTGGGGAAGAGGCGCCACTGTCTCTGCTTCTAGAAGTTCTGGATCTCTGAGCCTTAGGGATGGGTGGCCTTCAGTGCACCAGGCTCAGCCTTCTAGGAACCAAGACTTTGGGGTATTGCTCCCCTCCTTTGGGCCACACAGCTTAAAGACTGGGACCTGCTGTTTTTCAGTCTTGCGGAACGCCATTCCTGTCCAATCTCCCAGTCTGGTAGTTTTACCCAGGGAAAACCCAAGTCCGGTGAAGGCCAAGAAT